AAAAAAAAAAAAAAAAAAAAATCAATGCACCCACTAAAGCAGTGGTTTTCAACCTTGTTAGAGTCAAGGCACCCCCAGTTAGACTCAGGACTCCCCTTGGAAAATGCTGGTTTTTTGCTTCCACTTATTTTTCACTACAGAAAAAAATTTCTGTTGCAAAGAGCTCAGAAAGACCAAAACAGGTCAGAATGCATTTAACGCTGTGGATGCTATTTGAAACCTCTGGGTTTACCTTGTGCAACATGTTTGCACACCTAGCAGGACTAACATTGTGTGGCAATCCATGACAACCCTGAAAGGATCTCATGGCACCCCAGGGTCCTGCAAAACCCTGGTTGAGAATCACCGCCCTAACGAGAGCCAATTATCCCTATTTTACAGAGGGAAGAAATGAAACCTGGCTCCCAGTTGCATGCACTCATTGGGAACTAAGAACACAATTTCCATAGACCAGCTCTAGAAATGTAAGCAAAATGGTGTAAAAATCAATGGGCACTTAATATCCAAATGCCTGAGGTGGCAACAAAAAATGCAACCAGAGCAAAACTAATTACCATCCTACTTCTGAGCGCCTTCCAGATTTTCCTCATACACCCAACTACTTTCAGGAGCCTAATAAGGAATGGCTGAGTAATTGTGTAATGGCTTTCTCTTCCCTTACCTTCAGCAGGTTTAGTTTCTGACAGAGCAAATTTAAGGAAAGCACCTAACCCCAGCTTATTACTTGAAAGAGGCTCAAACCACACAAAACACTGAAAGGGAACAGCCAGATTCCCCATGAGAAAACCAGCCTTCCTTTTCTACACAGAGGTATTACCCATACCGTGCCATCGCTCATGGTACTTTTCGTCAACATTGTCTTAAAAGGCTGGCTGCTGGGTTGAGTGAACATCTTAAAAATATGTTTTCAGAAGTCAGCTGAAAGACAAGGGTACCACACAGCCTTGGAAAGAACCTCAAGTCACCCAGGAAGGATTTTTTAAATATGCCTCCTTACCAAAGAACTTAACAAGTAAGGAATTAATATCTGTCTTAGTGCATGAAGGGAAGAGGGAACAAACTCCAGAAAGATATCTATGGTCTGAACTGCTGAGCACATGCCAAGACACGAACCCATAAAATGGCTCGTTTCAGATTTGTTTTAAAGAAGGATACAATGCTCCATTTCAGGAGTCCAAACACAAGCGTCGGCTATTTGTTAGCCACCTATTGCCTCTTCCTCTTATAAAACGCAATAGGAGATGTTAATAGGAAGGACAGGGCAGGTTACCTGTGAAAAAAGTGCTGGAGTAAGAGAGGCAGTTGGCAGAGAAGGGCTTAGTATCCCCAGCGGGCTTGGATCGCTGCCAGTGATGACCAGAGTCGGGGCCAGCTCCAGTCCTTTAGGTTTCTTGGATCGTGAGAAGTGGTTGGCAAGGTCCTTATCCAGCATGGATAAATCCTGCTCTTTGGGCTCTGGAGATGGGTGCTGGAGGTTCTGGGATTGCTCCAGCTGCTGGGAAGCCACCGACTCTATGTCCGTGTCGATATCCAGGTCTGGGTTAGAACTCAAGGGCGGTGATGGGGGAGAAGAAGGGACCTGCAGAGTGGGAGAAATGGAGGATACAGGGGGAGTTGGGGTGAAGCTGGTGGTTAAGTTTGGCAAAGGGGCTGGGGCTTCAGGAGCAGTTAGTTTAGGTAGAACAAGTGTCTCCAAGGGCTGGAGAACTTCTTCTGTTCCTGTCGGAAGGGCAGACATGGTGGAAATGGAAGGGACAGTCGGAGCGGGTGAGACCATCAACGGGGCCGAGACGAGAGGAGCAGCCAAAGGTTTCTTGGAGGGCATGGTTACAAACTTGATGACGGAGGCAGTTGCATCCTGAGCAGGTTTCTTTTCCGGCAGCTTCTCAGCTGAATTCTCAATCTTGATTGACCTGAAGAGTTTGACACTGGAGGAGTTCAGGGAGGTAAGGGTGAAAGACGAGTACAGGCCCGAATGGATATAGTCATTGCGGCTGGATGACTTTGCACAAGACTGGGTCTTCTCTTTCCCACAGTTCTCCGTGTCCTTGGGTGTGCCGCTGACCTCAGCAAAGCCTGCCACCTCGGCGTCTCCCTCGATCTTGCCCACCACTAACGGGTCCATGTGCAGAATCTCCGGATAAGACACAAACTTGTACACAAACTTCTGTCCGTTCACCTTCTTAATGATATTCTGTGGGCATAAAAAACAAGGTTCAGCCCTTCCCCAGAACTGGCTGTGGGGAGACAGCATTGTTTTTACGAGTGTTGCAATTCCAACATTGTGATTCTTACCTCTTCTCATTTCTAGAGTGCCCCACACAGGCCCTGACAGCAGGAGCTGAAGCATATCTAAAATACGTTAACAACAAACGTCCTGAAAGCTGCCTAACCATTTCCCTTAAAAACCTTTTAAAGGAGCTCGACTAGCAGGAAAGAACAGACGCAGGTTAAAACCCACCAATCACCAGTACCCAAGTCAAAAGTGCAGTGGGCATCATCTAACCCAGGCACGATCTGGCACAAGAATCAGGACCTAAGTATTCAACTGTGACCGCCCATTTTCTTTTGCCTCTTTTATAAGAGCTTTAAAAATAAAAAGCTGGAGCGTTCAGCTGAACTGAATGTTAGCTAACAGTTATTTCAATACATCTAAGCAGCATTTTTTACCATTTGTTGTGGTATTTACTGAAACAGTGCACACGCATCAGCGGCCTAAGCGGGTTCTTACTTATTGTATAACAATTACTGAGTACTGAAGAGTTTTTAATACAAGAACAGATTAAGGAAACTGTGCTGTTCCAGCAACAATAAGCTCTGAGCAGCACACCACCTGCTACAAGCTCACAGTTACCTCAGGAACTGGGTGTTATTTTCTTATCTCTTACACCCACACAAGAATAGTTGTGGGATAAACCACTTACTGAGAGGTTACTGCATTAGGGTCACTACCCGCTGGTATAATTCTACTTCAGCTGCTTCAAGCCCTTCTTCAAAGCATGGGTGGTATCAAAGAGCATGTTTTGTTTTGTTTTTTTTAAACAGGCAACCAGAATCAAGAGCATTAGCAACGTAAGAGAAGCAACTCAGAGCTCAAGACAACTCATTCTCTATTCTGCAGCTAGTGTTATATGTTGGGTACGAAGAAAAATGATGACACCTCCCTTAATCCACGCTGACACTTATCCCCTTGAAGGGAATCAGAAAGGAAGCAAAGCCCTTTAGGTAGAAGCTAGGAGCAATGTGGATAAGGATGCAAGGTGGACGAAGGGGCCCCGTTACCTTCACATAGTAGTATCTGAGCGCACGGCTGAGCTTGTCATAGTTCATGCTGGGCTTGTTCTTCCGGATCCCCCACAGCCGGGCCACCTCCTCCGCCTGCAGCAGCTTGAACTCCCCGTCGTTGGAGGTCCACGAGATGATGTGCTTGTTCTGAGGCTCCTGGAGGAGTTGGAGGAGGAACTGCCACAGGGTGATAGCACTGTCCATAGCAGTGAGCTGAAACGAGACAGGCGATGGGCTATTAAGAGCGCTGTTCCCCACATGTCTGTTGCATGGGGTAAGCGCAGAAATATTATTCCCCAAGGGAGCAGAAGTCAAAATTATTAATCACCAGTTGTGGAAGATGTTGCCTGCAGAAATGAGAGCCTGGAAGCCAGCTGCCTTGCCTCGCCTTGCCTCCTCCCACATGGCAGCCTCTCTCACAAGGGCTATATTTAACCTCATTTAACTAAATTGGGTCACTTTGGGTAAGTCACATTGAGTCATTAGCAAAAAAAAGGAAAGATTTCTAAATTGCTCTATGTTCACACTCTGCTAACTTGTGTTGCCTCCCGAGAAACAGTGCACGCACACACACACACACAAAACCCCACACCCACTTTTTCCTCCTCTTCTCCCTCCTACTTCCCAACTCTTGATCTTCGGGCAGAAACGGTAGGTCACAGCTACAGTTTGCAAAAACAGAGATATGTCACAGACCAGTATTCACATGCTGCTGCTCCTTATTCACAGAAAAGGTCTTGAGCCCCAGGTCTCTCTCCATTCAAATCCCATTTCTTTATTATACCCACAACCCCCAGCTCTCGCTCATGCCAGGGTAACTTGTTTGCAGACCTGTGGCCAGAGATGTGAAGCAGGACTGATCTATAGAGGAACAGTGGACTCCACTTATAGGTATCTGAAGTGCATCATTGATTTAAGTGCATAACCCAGCACCAGCCCCAATGTGTTGCCTGTTGCTGACGCTGTAAGAGACGCTGCTGTCTGCACGCTGGTTAAGGACATGGGAACTCCCCTGCTGGGAACTCTCTGTAAGGGAACCCAGGGCCTTAAACTGTATACCAGGAACAACAAACTAGGAACCTGCAACTCCAAGGCAACTAAAGCAGCCCGGAGCTGACCAGGCCCCATGAAATTCATGGCTGCCACCAGAGGCCTAAAGCACTCAAACAAGGTAAGGAGCCTTAAGGATGTGTCAAAAACGTAGCGCAGGCTATTTCAGTTAAGGTTTACGGTTTACAATGGCTGGGATAAATGCAGAGTCCAGGTAAATGCATAGCTGTTCATCTCCAAACTATGTATTTAAATGCAGCACACTGTAAAAGCTAAGGTATAAGTTAAACAGAAAACTGTATATGTGAGCTCTTGGTCTGGAACTGAAGTGCTTTTTTGATTTAGCTTAAATTCCTTTCAACGTGACCTAAGGAAAATAAAAAAAAAAAAAAAAAAACCAGACTGCTCTTATTCCAGACTAGCAGAATCCTTACAGAGAACTGTACTGGGAGACCAGAAGCAACAGCACGTATTCAGGTGACTTCTAGCACAGTAACATCTGGACGTGGCTTACGCGTGAAGGAATTCATGGAGCTACACCCAACAGTGCTTGGGCAGGTGAAATGGTGCCAGTATTGTCCAAGATCCATGCACGCACCTGCTCGGGTGAACACAAGATTCAGCAAGAACTGCCAGTTCGTACTTTAGCAAGGAAGTTTTTTATTCCAATCTCTTAACTGCCCCGTGCATATCCACACATGCACCAGAAGGCAGCCCTATATAAGGAAGAGGCGAGACAGTCTGCATGTCAGGGCTTAGCATTTACTCAGCCCTGTAAAAGGATTACTGCTGACAGCTCACACAGGGTTCGGCATTCCAATTTCAAATAGGCGCCTCAGGGCAGGGACCAATTTGTTTCACCTCTTTCTGAAGAATACTTGCCCAACAGCACGCTTAAACTGTATTACTGGGGTGTTACCTCAATCTAGTTAGTTAAATTGCTGCAATTAGAGTTAACAGTCTCAAAAAGGACACCCACTCCACTCCATATGCCCGCCCATGGTGCTTTCCTTGTTAAACATCATCAGTATGTGCTTAATGTGGCAGATGCCTCCTGCTTTGTACAATGGCTGTGAGAAGGAGGAAAAAGAGGGGGGTCCCTTCAAAGTAAACCATCAGTCCAAGAAACATGATCAGGGATGCGTTTGGCTCCGAGTCCTGGGATAGCGGGCCTGTAAGGGAAGAAGTACATGCCTTATTGGGATGTGAAAGCACAGGGGGATGTTCTGTCATGTATGGCTTCAGCTTTATCTCAAATTTTTTTTTGGCTGGTTTTACCCAAATGAACGTGTGTCAACATAAACCACAGGTAACACTGCGCCCTGAACAGAAAGCAAAGCACAAGCTTGGAGACCAAAGGAACTGAGCATGACCAAACCCAGGAGTCTTCAAGAAGTCCTGGAGGGGAGGGACCAGAGCGCTTCTCCATCATGTTGCGGGGGTCACTGCTTTACAGGAAGAGCAAACAGGTAAGAGCAGCATCTTGTGTTCTGTAGGGTTTTCAGGACTTGGCCAGGCTTGGTTGAGTGCTTCGTGTCGGTCACAGGTGCCCAGCAGAGCTGTTCACATTCACCCTGTCTGCAGCATGTTCCCTTTTTGGGGTCATACACCCCATTCCGGTTTTCTGAGAAAGCTCCCAAAAAAAACCCTCCTCCATGGGAAGAATTCAACATCCCCTGGGATAGATTCTCTCCTGCCTTTCTTCTTGTTCAGAAATGTGTTGGGCTAGCTCTCTGGATGGGCCACAGCACTACAGATGAGCAAAGAAAAGGCACAAAGGGTACAGATATCTACGGTCTCACTTCCATTCTCCAACCCCAGTGCATAAATCGGGGAGCAGCATTCCCATCTCTTTTTCCCTGTGTGCACTTCCATTTGCAATAAGGGGCTCTCTGAACTACTTTCCCCTGGTTAGGCTCACCCCTACACACACACACCAGGCTGGGTGTTCAGCGGCCTGTTCTGACTTCACATGCCTAAACCAGTTAAGTACACAAGCTATCCTTACCCTGGACAACGTTACCCTCAAGCAAGTCTCCAAGAGATAAGGACAGACAAACTAAGAAATTATGCAACAGTGCTTTTTATGAGCACAGTGATCTTTCTCCTGCAACAGTGGAAGAGGAGAGAGTGCTATCTACCTGGGCAAACCTGGGAGCTGCTTTGCATCTTGTAATGCATTTGCCTGGGGGGGGTGGGGAACGCAGAAGGGGAACATGTCTTCACCTTCCGTTTGTACGTAACGCCCACAGAGCAGCCTAGTACGCTGCACAGCTGACGGAGGCCTGCTGTAGCTGCTCTAAACAAACACTTCAAACACCAGCAGAGTGGGAGTGATGGCGTAGCTCTGGTCCAGGAAATGACTGACGCTAGGGTTGTTTTGGTGATGCCTGTTTCTGAACCAACCGAATGGTTGGGAGAGCGATCAGACACGCTTTCAGGTACAGAGCACCCCTCTTCAGGTCTGAACTGGAGTACCCAAGTTTGTCAACATCTCTCCCAACCACAGAGTTGCTCCAATAATGGATACAACTAGGAAAAAAAGAGCCCTTGCTTCTCACCTTAAACTACTCATTTTGAACTTCTCTGGAGCTTGACTTATGCCATTTTATTAAATCTCACCTTCACTCCAACTCCACTGGATCCAGTATCCCTGTCCGTCACCATAGTAAACGTGCTGGCCACAATGGGTGGATTGAGGGGAAGAAAGAGGAGAGTAAGCAGAAAGCACCATAAGTTCCTTGCAACCGCACACAATCTGCATCACACCCAGTAACTCCTTGGAACAAGCTCACTGCTGCATAGAGCTACTTCATGGGGGGCAGGAGATTTTGTATTACTCCGCTGCAGAGCAAGTTTGTTCCCTGGAGCATTGCTTACTGTGACCTGATGTGTGTGGGCGTAGGGCACATTAATTTGCCTTGTTCATACTCTCATGTAATACCCTCTTTTAGGCAAGGCCTTAGCCATTCTGAGTGGGGGAGCATGCACACGTGCGCGTGCAAATAGTCTTGCTTAGCCTTCAAGAGGGTCAGAGACAAAGTGATACAAGCAAGAAAGGGAGGCATGAAGAAAAAAAAAAAAAAAA